AGAGGTTTTCCCAAAATGGGTCTGTGGCGCCTCCTCTGTTTTTCCCAAGGAGTCCCATGCTACCAGAAGTTGTCTTAGGGCCTCTCATGCTTGCATTAAGAGTGGTAAGACAGGCCAGGCATGGTGGCTTAGGCCTGTAATCCCAGCAGTTTGGGAGGCCTAGGTGGGCAGATAATGAGATCAGGAGATTGAGAGCATCCTGGCTAACACGGTGAAACCCTGTCTCTACTAAAAATACAAAAAATTACCTGGGCGTGGTGGCATGCACCTGTAGTTCCAGCTACTCTGGAAGCTGAGGCAGGAGAATCACTTGAACCCAGGAGGCAGAGGTTGCAGTGAGCCAAGATCGCAGCACTACTACACTCCAGCCTAGGTGACAGAGCGAGACTCCCTCTCCCACCGCCAAAAAAAAAAAAAAAAAAAGTGATAAGACAAAAAACGGAGAAAAATAATTCAACTGAGAAGAAAATAGCCTTTTTTTCCAGAAAAACTTTTAAATATACCTATAACTTGAATATCCACTTTTAATTAAACTGACCACTCTTTAAGAATGTGTTTTTAAATTCCTTGTTACTTGACTTTAGCCATGCCAAGCAGTTAAGATTTTTGGCTTTTGAACCTTACGAAAAGTAACCTCACAGGTGAAACTGACCAGCCTTAATCAGGTTATGATTTAAGCAGGAGTGCACACGGCATTTTTTAAGGGGTGATAGGCAGCTATTGAAACTATCATTGCAAAGCCGTGACTGAGACGGTGGAAGAGATCCAACCCAAACAACTCCATTTTGTTTACAGCCCCCAAGCTGTTCTTGCCCATCCCTGGGCATAAGTTGAGCCAACTTTGTCAGGAGCCTGGTTTGCAGTTTATAGTTTAAAACAAAGAGGATAACAGCCCCTTCTGAAGATATACTTCCTTCTTGCCTGGGGACCAGACCAAGAAACTAGCCATAAGATTACAAGCCATGGCTGAGGGGTCACGCAGCTGGAGGCTACAAGATTTTTCCTCTCCGTAAACTGCTCTAAAGATCAGTGCTTAAGATATTTTGTAAACCCTGCTTTTGATGGATTAGCTGGCACCACCCTGACTGACAAACTGGTTTATCTGACTTTGTGACCCTCACCCAGAAACTGACTTAGCACAAGAAGACAGCCACCATTGTAAAATGGCTGAGACTGAAACAAGGTATTGCCATGAGCTTACAGGTTATGTTCCCAAAGACAAGATGGAGGTCTGTAGCCAAGTTACTGACCATTTTGTTGGGCTGGCTTTAACAGCAGGCTTATGAGGTCCTGGGCCTACATCCTAACCTAAGATATCCTTTCTTTGATGAAACCATACAGAAAGACATGTAAAGCACATCAGATTGTCTACAGCTTAAGACCAACCTCACAAATCCTTTTTCATTAATTATAAATTTACCGAGAATATAAATTGTGATCCTTATTATTCCTTTTACTGGTTTGCAGGGAGAGAGAAGCCAAAAGCCCGACTGGTAAGAAATTTTTACGCTTTTGCTAGCCTATCAGGCTTCTGAGTTTCCTTCCCCCTAGCTCAACTCTAAGCAAAGCATTTTAAGGTTTAGAAAATTAACCTTTCCCTGGTTGGAAGAACATTATAAAAGAGATAGAATCCATTTTAAACTGCAAAAGAAGAAACAACGCCTTAGAAAGAAGTTCCAGTTAGGGTTGTTAAGAGATATTAGCTCTTCCTATTGGGAATGGTGTTTCCCCTATTTCTTTGCCTTCCATATTTCTTTTTCTCCTTTTGGCTTACTGTAGGAGACATACTGCTCACCTCCAAAATTCTCTTCTGCTTGCAGAGCTGCCTGTTTTAGCTATAGTTAGGGTTTGGCTTAGGAGCAGCATAACATTCCTCTATGAGAGGTCAAATACCTGAGTTAAAATTTAAGCTTCTGTATACCTCTCAGGGTTGTCAGAAAATCGGCCTAAGACTCCTTTTACTTGTCTAAGGTTCTGCAATGAGAAGGGAACTTGAAGGGGCCCCAGATAAGGGGGACACTCAGATGGTTCCCCGGAACTTGTTTCTTTAATTTAGGGGAATTAAAAAGGCCATTCCCTTGTGCAAAAGAAAATAAGCCATTTTTTCTTCAAAGTTTCAGGGTTGAAGGAGTTCCAGTGCTTTAAAATTCACTCCAGGGGAGTGCATGTTAAAAGACAGTTTGTTACCCATCTAGAAAGAGAAATGAGAATAAAAGCATCCTTTTAGTCTCTTCCTTTAGGTATGTGATCCAGATGGAGACAAAATAGTAGAGGGCATCCACCCAGCTATATTCTCTCTGGGGTTCCTGGATTCCTGGCATGCATTTAAATGTACCGCCCATGACCGCACGCGTGACCCTCCAAGCCCTGGCACTAGAGGAACTAAACTTTTGGGCCTTAGTTGCACTGTCCCCAAGCTATCTTACTCCTCTGCCTTTTATTTCCCTTTGACCTAGACTTCTGTGGCTTGTGTGCCTGCCTAAATGGATATCAAGAAAAATCACGTAATTGGGCAAGGCTCCTTTAAGGGAGGGGTCATGCTAGATTGAGCTCTATATCCTTCTATTATAGCAGATGCTAAAGCATTTACCCATTGAAAAATAGTTCAGGTTAACTTCCGGACTTAAAATGCCGTTACTAACTTGGACAGGGCTGAGTGGTGAAAAAAAAAATTAAGAAAATCCCCTCACTAATTAAGTACTGTCTTAATGGGAGACAGAATAGATACCTTAAAGGAATATAGGAATTGAATGGTCATTTTCCTGCCAGTGGGACAATATTGAGACTAAAATTTGGCTACAGAAGGCATCTTACTCTTAACTGTTAAAACCAGAGCTTTCCCGTCCACAGAAGTAGCAGTAGAAAAGTGCAAAATGGAAAAGTTGTGAAGCTGCAATGTGTCTCATGAAGAGGATTTTTATTTCCGCTAGGTAGCTTAGAAATACCAAGTGCTCACTAGAGAAACCATAGAGACAGAGATGTTTATTGAGTTACTACTGCCTGCTGCAATTCTTTTCTAGCAGACCTGTGTTCCTGAACTGAAAAGATTCCTGCACATTAGACACACACAGAGAAAGTAAGAGACCAGGGATAGAAAGAGGAAGTTTGGCAACAGTGTACTTGGAAGAGAGCCTTGAGATTAAAGGACAGATTTTAAAGTTGAGATCCACTCCATAGTTACCAGTCTGATGAATGAATTTCCTTTCCTGGCCCTTGCACCAAAATGATTTGGCCCTGAGAAGTAGAGGAACACCAGGTTCTTCGTTTCATGTCAAATTGGAAAAAACAACACAGACACACATGAAGTGGTTGTAAGAAGCAGAGAATTTAATAGGTAAGAAAGAAGGGAGAAAACAGGAAGAAGCTCCCCTGTAAAGAGACAGATGGAGGAGGCACGAGAGCCAAGAGAGGTGACCCCAAGTGAGGCGGAAACCAGCCAGGTATATGTAGAGGCTGGCGGTATCAGTGTCTGATTTGAATGGGGCTCAGGTGATTGGTTTGACTAGGCATGTCATTCACATAACCCATGAAAAACTGGCCTTCCCACCCTAGCCTTTTAATATGCAAACGTAGGGCACCATGATGTTCTACACACCTGGAGATATGTGGGGGCAGCCATGTTGCCAGACACATGTTGGATAGCAGTGGGAATCACCATGTTGGGTGGCCCAGTTTCTAAAGGCTTGTATTTGCATATTAAAGGTTGCTGGCCCAGTTTTTAGAGCCAGGGCTTTCCAGCTAGACAAGAAACATTTCTGGAGCTGCTTTAAAAGAAACAAAAGGTTCCAGAGACTACTTTTCCCCTCTATCTGCCTAAAATAATTTCTTAATAACTTCTATCACACAGCTTTTCAGATGAAAATGTAAGGTCAAAGGTCAGCAGAAGGGCTTAATAATACAAGTTAGGCAGTATAGTATTTTACTTGCAGTATATACAGTATTTCCCATTACAACTGATATAATCGAAAAAAATATTTTGGCTTTCTTGCAATTAAAAAGTCACAGGTGAGGTTGCAGTGAGCCTAGACTGAGCCACTGCACTCCAGCCCCAGGGCAAGACTGTCTCCAAAACAGAAGTCACAGGCATTGCATATTTATTAATCAAATTGCCAATGACCTACTCCATTCTGGAAAATAAAGAACATGGGATTTTTTTTCTTGTGATGAGAAATTTTAATTCTAAAAAAGGCCAATTCCCACTTCGTTTTTAGTCCTCTTTTAAAAGATACTTCTTCAAAATCCCAAGAAATAAAAGAAATTTGCTAAAGATCCAGTTAACTAAAAGTCCTACTGCGTACCTTTACACTGCCTGCTTGCCCTTCTTTTCTTGGTGACCTAGCTGTATGTGCTTTGCCCATTTTTGTGGGTTAGAGAGAAGTTTGGTCTTTGAATTTTTAAGTACTCTCTAAATAGTAAAGCAATGACCCTTTGTGATATAAGTCATATTTTTTTCTTGTGCTTTATCAGTTGATTTTGCTTATGCTGGGTTTTTTTCCTGTCTTGCAGAATTTTAAATTGAAATTCAAGTTCATATCTATCTCACTCCTTATATCGCTGTCAAAGTAAATGTGGTAGAATTCACCTTTAAAGCAACTATTAAACAGAATTACACAGACATGAGCAATAGTCATATATAAAGCTCTCCTTAATGAGCCGATTCCAAATTATAAATATTTTTAAAAAGAAAAACAATCAACTTGTAAACCAGAAAATCCAGGCAACATATTATTCCTTTAAGTAATCCAAACTATTTTCTAATCCTAAATGCAATCTTTTCCCCTGAGTAGATAGTGTGTGCTTTTAGCATGAGGCAGAAGGGTGGGGGTTTCACAGTGATGCACACAGCAAGGGAGGAGCTTTGCTAGGTCCTGGGGAAGCCGCAGCATCTTCAAGTGCACATGTCTGCATCTCTGTGAAGTCACTTCAAAGACTTTTTGAAGCTCAGATCTTATTCTGTTGAAATCAATTGGCTCCTTTCAAGCCAAAATTTTATTCGAGATGTTCTTCAGCTTTATGGTACTTTGTCAAGGAAGGACACTGAAATAACAGGATGTTTTCATTTAGTTAACAGTATGGTCGACAATTGAATTACCCAGAATTTATAGACTGATAATCATGATGCTGGCATTCCATATAAATTACAAGGTCACTGGAAGTGTTTATTGCCCTCTATGATGGCTGCCATGTAGGGCATAAGAAAGTATGGCATAAATGGAGACGTTGAGTAGATAAGAGAGAGATTAATGAGTAACTTGACTTTTTCCTTTTTTAATTTTGTCCAAAGAAAAAGTGTTCTCAGAGTTGTGCTACTAAATAAGGAAATAAGGAGCCTCATTCCATTCTAAAAAACGTACAGGTCACTCATAACACAAGAAGTGTTTTTTTGAGTCTCTTGTTTTAAACCATGGTGATAGCAGGGGCAGAAATACGAACTTTTTCTGGAGGGGGTCATCTTGGAGGGGGTCAGCTTCAGAAAACAGTCCTCCTCTTCTAATTACAGTCAAGAATGAGCTACAGTAGTGGATTTGGTACAAGTGCTTCCCCAGGCATACAGGAACCTCTCCTTTTAAGGCCAGGAATGGTGTCCTTCCACCAATGGACAGACCTCCTGATGAGGCCCTCCAGCTCATTTGCTCCTCAGTTATTACTGCCACCAGATTCTTCATCATCATTCTCCTTTCATTACACTATTTTTAGTAGAGACAGGGTTTTATCATGTTGGCCAGGCTGGTCTTGAACTCCTGTCCTCTGGTGATCCACCCACCTTGGCCTCCCAAAGTTCAGGGATTTTAAGCCTGAGCCACCACACCCAGCCTCACTTTAGTTGCTTAGTAAGTCTTCAGACTGATTATGCAGTTTCTGAATTGTCTCCAGTGTTTGAGGAAGGTTTCAGCCTGCATCTATCCAGGCCTGGTGTGATTGTGGCTCTCCCATAGAGCAGGCCATTTTGTTCTACACTGTTCTATCACTGTCAGTCTTTTTTAGCTCCAGGATAAACGGCTCTTCTGACTTGATGACCACTATGATACTCTCCACTTATACTCTGTGTTTCTCACAAGCTTCCTTCTTCTTTACTGTGAGGCCGTTTATGCCCTTGTCTTTCTGTGAGGAAAGCTTGAGCTCCAAATAAGGAGTAATCAGCCCTCCTCATGTAGCCACAAGACTTAGCTTATTGGCCACACCTACTCAAAGAGGAATGACTGCATCATTAGTCAGTCCATCTCCTTCTAAGATAAGGCACCTCTGCCTTCTGATTATTTAAGTTTATTACTTTTTCTTCCTAATTTTAGCTATGTGTTATTTCTAACATGAGAATCAATGTTGTTTGGTTATACTAATGCACTCACTATCCTGAAACCACCTTTGCAAAGATTATGAGAATGAAAGAAATCTAACATGGCTGACTCCATCTTGCTTCGAGCCTCACAGGCAGGCTGGCTTCACTCGTTCCTGGTTGTAGGCCAAGGTAACCATGAAAGGAATTTAGTTTATAATTTAACTTTGGAGCAAGGATAATAATAGTCTCTACCTAAAACTAGCCTCTCCTTGCTCAGGCCTGAAAACTTTTAAAAGGCCAAAAGATTAGGATTATGAGAGGGACCTGAACTCTGCTAAAATACAGGCATAGTTTTTGTAATCCATTACTGCTCATCAGGAGTCAGGTGGCCAGAAGTCAGAAGATTTGTGACTTCCCTAATTGCTCCTATAGATAACATCACTATTGTAGAGTGTTCGAGTGGTCTTCTGAGATGTTTTTCAGATTTTTGCATTTGGCAACTGACTGACTCTACCTGGACCTGTGACTCATGACTCAGCTGGTCCTGTGGCTTCTACCTAGAGGTGGACACAGCACATGAGGACTGTTTCCCACACCCCCATCCCCAACCAATCAGTAGTACCCTTTCCCTAGCTCCCTTCCTACCAGATTCTCTGTAAAAATCCTAGCCTCTGTGTTCTTGGGGTGACTGAGTTGAGTGATAACTCCAGTTCTTCCATGTGGCTGGCCTTTGTTAATTCAACTCTTTCTTTACTGCAATGTACCATGATCTCAGTGAATTGATTTTATCTGTACAACAGGCAGGAAGAAGCTGTCAGACAGTTACAATCCCAGGAAGTGAAACAGGCCAAAAATGAAAGTTTAGGAAATGTTTAAAATTTTTCCTGGATTACACATATAGAATAGGTTTTAGTGTGGGTTACATAGATGTTTGAGAGGTTTGCCTCCCTGACCTTTAAGTCTAACAAGGATCATGATCTTTCTGCCACATCCCTGGTACCCCTGGTCAGAGAGAGAATAGTTGTTCCATGGACATTCAAGTATCTTGAATATTTTCAAAAGGAAGAAATAATCATTTTCCCTATGTGATTTTAATTAGAGACTGGTATAGATACTGAAAATTAGAGCCCCAACTTCTTTAAATCAGACTTAATAATTTTTTTTTAAATTAACTCTCAATTATAACAGTACTTAATAAGAAACTTTAAGAGGAAAAATGTATTGACACAGAACATTGTTAAGGTAAAGGGACCAGCTACTTACCTTTTGTTTTTCTAAAGAAAAAGAGCAAAGAATATTTATATGTCAAGCCATAAAATATAGAGAACATTAGGAAGGATAATGATTTAAATTTAAATCTTGACTAATTCAATATTTCCCATGAAATTGACTAGGTTGTTTACAGCAAGATCTACTATGACAAACTACTTTTTAAAATGTATATTGGCATCTCTGTGAAATATGAAAACTTCAATTTCTGTAAAGCTTGTTGTAGGAAACTACACTTGTTTAGATTATTTGCTATAGAAAACTGTTCACTTAAAAGTTACAAATTCAGTTTTTTATGGGTTTAGACTTTGCTCATCAACCTTATAACATTGCTAATATTGATTCCGGCCTCATTAATGTTGTTATAGTTAAATCAACCAGTACAAAAGCTGTATACTCTTCCCTGTCAATAAAGACATTTCTTTATTCAGATCTTAATTTTTGGAAGTTTTTTTTTTTTTTTTTTTTTTTTTAAGTTTAAAAAGTTAATGGTGGCCTGGTACAATGACCCACACCTTTAATCCCAGCACTTTGGGAAGCCAAGGCGTACAAATCACTTGAGACCAGGAGCTCGAGACCAGCCTGGGCAATGTGGCAGAACCCTGTCTCTACTGAAACTACAAAAATTAAACAGGCATAGTGGCACATGCCTGTAGTCCCAGCTACTTGGGAGCCTGATACTTGAGAATTGCTTTTATCCAGAGGTGGAGGTTACCATGAGCCTAGATCATGCCACTGCACTCCAGCCTAAGTGACAGAGTAAGGCTCTGTCTCAAAAAAAGAAAAAGTTAATGGTGTTTACAAAATATTTATTGATATGTTAAAATATTAAAAGTCTCAATTCTTCCCCACTGGCAGCCTATGTATGCCATATGATCTGTGTACCATAAGAGACCCAATCTAACTTCTAGTGCTATGATAGGATAGAGGTCAGTGTCTGCAATGTCTTAGCAAAACTAGGATATCAACAGCCTCATGAACACCTTTTTAAAAACTCCTTCTGCCTACTTTCTCTTTCTGTAAAACTCAATTTCTTCTTAACATGCAGTGTGTGTGTGTGTGTGTGTGTGTGTGTGTGTGTGTGTGTATGTGCTTGTGTGTGTGTTTGTGTTTTGAAATAGAGTCTCACTCTTGGCGCAACAGTGCAATCTCGGCTCACTGTAGCCTCTGCCTCCCAGGTTCAAGCAATTCTCGTGCTTCAGCCTCCCAAGTAGCTGGGTTTACAGGTATGTGCCACCTCGCCTGGTAATGTTTTGTATGTTTAGTAGAGATGGGGTTTTACCATGTTGCCCAGGCTGGTATCGAATTCCTGGCCACAAGTGATCTGCCCACCTTGGCCTCCCATAGTGCTTGCTGAAATTAGAGGCATGTGTCACCGTACCTGGCCAAAATGCTGGTTTTTAAAAAAATGTTCTTAGTATCCTATATATTTCCTTTAGTGTGAATACCTCTTTGTCTAGACTGTGTGTCAAGGGCCTTCTTTATAAGAATTACCACATCTGTTTATGTAGCAACAGGTTTGTTTGTCTTTTACTTTCTTTTGACTTCCAAGAGGGAGTAAGTACAGTTTATGTTTCTTGGGATAATATGGGTATACTTACTCTTTTCTGCACTATAGAATTATCCAAAAGAGGAAAATGGTGAATAAAATAAGGAAGATTGTCCCAGATAAAGTGCCTAGGCAATAAAACAAGGCAATTAAATGCATGAAGACTGTAACTCATAGGTTTTAAACGCTATCTTAGTATTCATTTTCACTACAGATTGCCAATGCTTTTTTTTTTTTTTTTTTTTTTTTTTTAAGGTGTGACTATACGTTCTGCTTTGCTCTGGGTTTCTGTAGCATTAGTCTTACTCCCACAGAGTTATTATAGTTAAGGGGTGAGCTGAGCTGTTTCGTAACCTTTAGTCCAACATCAGCCTTTCCACAAGTAAGTGAGAACCAGGATGGTGCAGCTGCCCACCAGCTCTCCATTGCCCTGCCCATGTCTCTTGCCTAAGACTTAACACACAGGCATTTCATTATGACAATACGGGAATTTTCTCTCTTGCTGAATTAAATATTGAGGTCCTTTGTCCATTTATTGATTGTTGAAGTGCACAGTCTCCACAGATAGGTAGATTGCCTGGTTAGACCCAGGCTACCCCATTCTGTGGTCTTGGGCAAGTTACATAAACCTCTGTGTCTCAGTGTCCACATGTGTAAAAAGGGATGTAAGAATATTATGCCACAGAGGAAGCAAACTCTATTACAAAACTATTCTTCTGATAGAGGCAGATCACAGATATGGGCTCAGAAGACTGGTCTGTGGCTACTGGTGCGAATGGACACTATCACCATTTGGAAGCATACTCCAGGTTATAACCCAAGAAAGAAGTTGCATTCTCCTACCACATTCAGATAAAGAATTTTCGACACGGATGAATGACTATTCATTTGTAATGGTTCAAAGACAGTAAAGAACCTTTGATGAAGGTTACTCAGTATGCATATGATGGTGCTGGTTTCACCATATCCTGGCCTAAACTTGTCATTATTTTCTTTCTAGTTGAATTTATAACCCAAGATATTTTGATCTCTCTTTTTACATTTCATTCATTATAGATAGGTACTCACTGTTAAAGATGCCAGAATTCCTCAGCAAACCCTTCATAAAACTTACCAACTATGAGAGCATTATGTGCACCTAAAAAGAAGACAAAAGTTACAAAAACGTTACTTTGGCATGCAACATGATTGAATGGGACCTCTCAGCCTGTGACAAGTCATCCTGATTTTTCTTTAGGACTCAGTCTAATATTTTTTCTAGTGCAAAAAGGCATTGTTTTCACTGACATCCTCTCATTTTACCCTTTGCACTGAGAACCCTTTTTTTTTTTTTTTTTTTTTTTTTTTTTTTTTTTTTTTTTTGAGATGAAGTCTAGCTTGTCCATAAGCTGGAGTTCAGTGGCACAATCATAGCTCGCTGCAACCTCTGCCTCCTGTGATCCAGTGATTCTTCTGCCTGAGCCTCCCGAGTAGCTGGGATTACAAGCATGTGCCACCACACCCAGCTAAGTTTTGTATTTTTAGTAGAGATGGGGTTTCATCATGTTGACCAGGATGGTCTCGATCTCCTGACCTCAAGTGATTCCTCCGCCTCAGCCTTCCAAAGTGATCAGATTATAGGTGTGAACCACCACGCCTGGCTGAGAAGACTTTTTAAAAATAACTACTTTGGTCATAAAAGCAATACAATTACAGAAGCAAAGAAAAAAATCACCCCAAACCCTAGTACCCAAAAAATGTTTTGATACATTCTCTTCTGGCACATTTTTTCATATGTGTGTTTTCACATATTTATATACTAGAAATAAAGTTAAAACAATGGCAAAGTAATATAATCTAGTAGATGCATCATAGTTTATTCAATAACTTCTGTTGTGCATTTACATTATTTCTAGTTTTTTTTTTTTCATAAAACCCTCAATAAAATGCATAAAATATTTTTATATTTTACATTGTTTCCTTAGATTGACTTTTAGGTGGGCTAACTGACAGGAATAGTTGTACTATTATCCACATACATTGCGTAATTGTTTTTCATAAGCGATTTTGCCAATTTACCATAGTACTTTCAACATACAACAACATCAGTTTCATCACATACTCACTTTTTATTGGTTGTTCTCGTAAAAACCTTTCTGTCATTAATTTAGTGGAAAATTAAAAACATAGTACCTTGTGATTTTGCATTTCTTTAGTTCTAGTGAGGTTAAACAGTTTCTATGTATTTATGTGCCAAGGCAGAAGGATATTTACACCATTTCTCTAAATCTTGCATCCTAAGGTAGTTTCTGCATTTCCCTGCAGAGACATTCAGGGCTGTGTTGCGTTGAACTATGCAGAATTGAAGAAACTCCATTTACCTTAGAAATGTCATGGAGACATTTTGTGAACTAAGAAGGTCCAGAAGGTGGGGATAATATTGAGAGAGTCTGGGCGGAACTGAGAGAAGCTAGGTTCTAGGAAAGCAGTTGCTTTAATGAATGGGATGCTGGGTAATGGAAATGGGTAAAGAGGATTTGGGGACATTTTAATGAGTGTCATATAGTGTAATTTTTCCTTAAGCCTCTCAAAGACATTCAAGTAAACACTGCTTTTAGGTTTTACCTATCTTCTGGAGTTGAACTTACTTGTCTAGCATGCAATACCATGCTAATTAGTCTTGAGACAATGTACATATGGGTTATATGTCTTAATTCTGGCTTTAAAGAGGACCTGGAGATTACCCCTTCCTCTGAGGAAGATGTTGAAATGAATCAGGCCTCTGATATAAGTGGCCCATTGAAATGAGGAGACAGGGCATCTGAGTATCCCAAGAAATTCTTCCTTCTATGATGCTTGTACCCAGAGGTTCCTTTTTCTCTTTGGATTGCTATTCTGTTTCAAAACTGTCTATGGCGTGTCACTCCAAGCCTGGACCACCGTCCCAGATTACTTCCTCATCTTTCATTTTAGACTGGTATCTTAAGCAATCTATCCCAAGCCTTAGGGGAAAATACTGGGTTTTATTTCTTCTCTCTGTTTCTGTGGTCTCTAAGATCATGAAACTTTCTTTGCCTCTTCTTACTACAATGCAGTAAGATGTCAAAGGCCAAGACTAGATAGGGTAAAGAGACTAGGAAAAAGAAGGCAAAGGGGACTGCTTTTAGTCTGAGTGTTAATTGAGAGAGACAAAAGGAGTTTCTCTGTGGTCCAGCTCAATTCATGAGGAGTCTGCACTAAAGTCTGAGTTCCAAGAACCTACTGGTTAACAGTTATTTAGCCCATTCTGATTCATTTTATGTATCTTCATTCATCTAAAGAATTGCCTGTTATCCGGTGTTTGGGACCTTGGCCCATTAGCTTTCCATTTCATTATGACAAGATTTAAATATTCTCTCTTGTTGAATTATATATTGAGATCCTTTGTCCATTTTTTTTATTGTTAAAGTGCACAGTCTCTACAGATGAGTAGATTGCCTAGCTGAACCCAGGCTATCCCATTCTGTGTTCTTGTGCAAGTTACCTAAACTCTCCGTGTCTTAGTTTCTACACCTATAAAATGGGATAACAAGAATACTACCCTCCCCGTAGGTTGTTGTGCAATTAAATTAGAAGCTATATTTTATTTTTATTTTTTATTTTTTGAGACAGAGTCTTGCTCATCATCCAGGCTGAAGTGCAGTTTTGTGATCTCAGCTCACTGCAGCCTCGACCTCCCAGGCTCAGGGGATTCTCACACCCGAGCTCCTGAGGAGCTGAGACTACAAGCATGCACTACAATGCCTGGCTAATTTTTTATATTTTGTAGAGACAGAGCTTCACTATACTGCCCAGGTTGCTCTTAAACTCCTGGGCTCAAGTGATCCTCTCATTTTGGCCTCCCAAAGTGCTGGTATTACAGATGTAAGCCACCATGTCCGGCTTATCTATCTTTTAACAGTGGTACTAAGTATTCATTATATGTTAACTTTTACAACTAGTACCACAACCACTACTATTGCTACCTGTATGATAACACTACTAATTCTTCGCTGTGTTTCCCATGTATTTGTCATCTATCTCCTGGCTTAGTTATTTTTCAACATACGGAAGTTTTGCCACATTGGCCAATAGGTCAAAAAAGTCAACACGGTGTTCATGCCTGTAATCCCAGCATTTTGGGAAGTTGAGGAGGGTTGATTACCTGAGGTCAGGAGTTAGAGACTGTCCTGGCCAACATTGTGAAACCCTGTCTCTACTAAAGAATACAAAAGTTAGCCAGGTGTGATGGTGAGCGCCTGTAATCCCAGCTACTCAGGAGGCTGAGGCAGGAGAATTGCGTGAACCCAGGAGTTGGAGGTTGCAGTGAGCCAAGATTGCACAATTGCACTCCAGCCTGGGCAACAGTGTGAGACTCCATCTAAAAAAAAAAAAAATTAAAATGTCAACACCTTTTATGACTTAATGGTGTTCTGTTCTTCCTGGAGTATGGACCTGGTGTGGGCAGTCACAGCCACAAATGCGCCTACGGTAGTCAGGTACTGTCGTTTAAAGCCAAACATACATCAAAAGAATGAGCTATGGAGGTTAAGAGTACAATCTTAAACTCTGCTCTTCCAAGGCCTCCTGAGTTCCCTTTGTTAATGGTGAGGTGAAGCACCAACCAAACATAGTCAGTGGCTTGAAAAAACACCTAGATACAACATAAAAACTATAAATCCCTACATCTGAGTTTCTGAAATTTATAGCGTTATCAGTTCTGAAGTAAATGACATCATCATTGTGTACTTTTTGTGCAGCACATCCATCTATCCAGGATACAGACAACTCATAGTGCAGAGGAGGAATCAAAGAATATTTTCTTTAGCATTTGCTTTCAGTACTTTGAAAATATTCTCTGCAAAATGTGGACCTTACCAGTTCTCTTCACTGTCCACCCCCTTCTCTCCTTACCATCCCTCACTCCTCACCCCACACGAAGGGCCATCAGAATATCAACAATTGAGACACAGTGCGCCTATCTAGAACCCATTTTTCACTCACTTGGGATGGATGTAGTTTTTTCTCTGACAGTCATAGCAAAACCATTTTCACAAGCAAAAATGACTGTCTCTATAGAAATCTAAAAGTTGTCACCTAGATATTCTGAACCCATTTAGGATATGTGGAAGCAGATACTGACCAGCAGGAGCAGAAAGTTCACAGCGAGGGGCGGGGCTGCTCCAAACCCCATTCCCTTGAGGGTCACTTGTGCAGCGGATGGTGCTCTCCCCAATGAGGTCGAAGGTCATCCCTCTGTCTGGGTGGGGGTAGCATGTGTAAGATACTTCTTTTCCATAGGGAATATCTCCAAGGGGAGTTTCTGTGTGTCTTCCATTAAGGATAGGTGGAGGATTTGGACAAAAGATTTCTAGAAAGAAAACAAGAGCTTTAAATTCTATTAGAGTTTAAATTAAGTTGACTGAAATCATGGTGACCTGTGACTGTGCTCTGAATAAATCTTTTACTTTTAGAAAAAAATATAACTAAGGTGGATGAAATGTAAATCTGTAAGGCTTTTGTTGAGAAGGAACTAACTGATGTGAGACCTTAATTACAATTTATTGCAAAAGCCCAACGATGGTGTTTCTGTACCATTTAGGTAGCTATGTTCATAATGAAATTGGAAAGTAATTATTTTTATTTTTAACAACACCCATTTAGTTGCCTACTTTATATCAGGCATAGAGAGATTCCTGGGTTGACAATGAGGTTCAAGACAGACAAAGTGTTGGCCACCAGAAACCGTAAGTTCCAAGGAAATCTATGAACTTTAATAAACATGCATGAACATCTTTAGCAATGTAAATGTTTCTTGGTGATTCAAGATCATTATCATCAGTACCAATACCAAATATCCAATGATCTCATCAGGACACATTGATAAGGCTCTTTTTACCTAGATTAAGTGGTGCCAAAGAGCCTCTTTTTTCTTTATTCCAAATTATTAGCCATCATTTTTTCTTCCTTTCAGTGTGGTTGAAACAGTTCCTTCCCTAAAACCAATTGATGCTTCTAACTTGGTATGAATTCAGGAAAATATACCCAAGTTTATCAGAATTATATGTATATAAAAGACTTGGTATATCAAGCAATGTTTGACTTCTCATGTTTGAATATTATTTGTTTCTGTTTTTCCTAAGTTTACTTATAGATTTATTTTCAGTTCTATGTGTCTCTGTAAGGTTAAGTTTGTTGGATACTTGAGTTTCCTCAGGTATTGAATTTTTTCACCATAGTACTCACCATAAGGTATCCAAATAGATATCTGTAAGTTATTTTAATATAGTACAAATTAAAATAAACATTTTTCAATCAGGAAAAAAAGGTTTAAAAAATTCTTGCCTTGCTTTAGTAGACAGAATAGGATAAATCAGTAATGCCTTGGTATATAAAACATGTACTTTTATCTGTTAGTTTCTGAATTTTGACATTTTATTTATGCACATGGTTTGGAAATGTAGAACACCTCATAATTTCAGACACTGATGCATTCTCCTAGTCCTTCCACCATACTAACTTATCATATAACTCTGTTTTATTTTCTCTATAATATATCCCTATTTACCATTTTATATATTATAATTTTAGAATTTTGTTTACTTATTTCTTTTTTGGTTCATAGTTTGCTTCTCAACAAGAATATATACTCCAGGGAAGTAGGGAGGCATCTTCACTATTCATTCACTGTTAATTGCTTTTTCTACACGTGGAAAGTCCTGATAAATGGGAAGCCCTATGTCATTAAATATTACAGGCTAAATAACAGGCTGACTAAATCATTTATGATGTATAAGAAGATAAAAGAACATCAAAATTTGGCTGAGCATGGTGGCTCACACTTGTAATTCTGGGACTTTGGGAGGCCAAAGTGGGAGGATACCTTGACCTCGGGAGTTTGAGACCAGCCTAGACAATATGGCAAGATTCCACCTCTACAAAAAGTACAAAAAATAGCAAAGTGTGGTGCCAAGCACCTGTAGTCCCAACTATTGGGAGGCTGAGGTAGGAGGATTGCTTGAGTCCAGGAAGTTGAGGCTGTAGTGAGCTGTGATTGCACCACTGAACTCTGTCCTGGGTGACTCTTGTCTCAAAAAAGAAAAAACAAGAAAACAAAAATTTTAAAAAAGATTACTCCTTGGTAAGGAAACTAAAAAATAAATGACTGAATAAAACTTGCTGCACCTTTATGTCATCTAGTTTCTTGCCACACATTTCCCACAAAATTAAACACTGTCATTAAACTAAGTGATTTATAGATTAGTAACAAAAACACGTGTTGTAGAAGACCTACATGACACCTGTCTGGAAATTCTTCCAACAAAGAAGTATTTTTATCAGCAATTTAGTTAAGTAAAGATCCATACAACAGGTGATTCCATGCAGAAAAATACACTAGAAAACAAAAATAAGGAGAGCTATCCAAACTGCATAGTTGTTCTTCCTACTCACGTTCACACACTGGAACACTGCTATTCCAATGGGCTTTCATTCCAGCCAAAACACAATGACTAGCAGACCTGCCTTTTAATCGGAACCTAAAAAAAAAAAAAGTGGTAGCAAATGTGTGAGCAATTCCCATCTCTCCCTTGATTTCTTCACTCATAGATGCTCAGCTTCCCACTACCATTTCCTCCTTGACTAGCACTTGGTTCTTAGGTTCGGGCCCAGCTAAAAGTCTTAGTTCATTAGGGATCTGAATTCTTCAGTAGCTGGCAGAAACTCAAAGGCCAATTTATTCTAAAGAATCATGATACCCTGTGACTGGCAAAGCAATTAGAGCTGATGTTGATAATTGCCATATAAAATTCGTAGCCCAGCATCAGCTACAGAATGCATGAACCAGACTTCTCCATGTGCACAAGAGCCATAACCTTCAGGTGTCATCTTTCACTGATGACTCTCTGACATCCCACTTATTTTCATTAATGGGTCATGAAGCAGAACAGCTCTCAATTCGTTAAGCAAAGCAAGGAACATCTAGAAAGAGAATGGGCATTGTTCTTGCCACTGTAATTGTAACGGGCCAAAAGGAGGCTCATAGAAGCATTCTGAACCACGTGCTCTAAGAAAAACAGACAGATTGGGGAAGGAGTCTTTGCTACCCTGAAATGCCCAACTTATTATTGAATCCCACTTCCCTTCTGAAATCTGAAATCATTCTGAAATTGGAAATTATTATTGGGTGATGGACTTTGTAAATGCCAAAGATTCCTTGGAAATTGTTAAAACTAACTGCTTAATTGCCCAATCTAGTTATCCTCCTAGACTCATAGTACACCACCAAGAGTAATGGATACACATAAACAACTAGTAATACCACTTGAAACTGATAGAAGCAGGAGGCAGACAAATCCTAGGCAGACATGATTAGGTTCCCAGTGAAACCCGACCTTCAAGCCGAAGACAGTTTAAAGTTTGGCTACAAGTTCCAGGTAAATCCATGGACTAGATTCAGAACCTCTCCTCTTGTTTGGCATACTTTCCTCTGATTCCCACCCTTCATCTATTTTACATATACCTGCCCTTCCCTAATTGGGTTTTTACACTGTTGTGCCCACCTTTGAGTGGTGGCTTTGTTTTAGCTGCTTTTGCATACTCACAAACCAATCAACACACACTTCCCATTCTGAGTCCATAAAAGCTCCAGACCCAGCCACACTGAGAGAATGCCCCCCTGACTTCATCTAAGGAACCACCCTCATATCTTCTCTCTGCTGAGAAACTGTTTTGTCATCCAATAAAACTCTTCTCCACCCTCCTCACTCTTCGGTGTCAGTATAACATTCTTCTTGAATGTAGGACAAGAACTCAGGACCCGCCAAACACAGGTACAAAGGCTATAACACAGAGGCATCCTTTGCTGGAGGAGGGCAGCTGCTCCATGTGACAGGAAGCAGCATCAGACCAAGGCATCCCTGAAGATGCAGGCCAGAGCAGGGCCATGGGACTGGCAGAGCTGTTAACACAGTGCTATCTGTTGGGTTGCAGGCATTATCAAATGCTAAGAGCTATTAGCATGCTTTAACACCCCCTCGGGGCTTCAGGGTTGTGAGCACTCCTATTTGGGCACTACCATGTTTCCTTCAGTGCAACATGCCTGGTTCAGCCGCAAGCCCTGATGGAGCCCACTCCTGTGCCAGTGCTTAGAGCAGCCAGCCAGACCCCACACTCACTCACTCACTCACACACCCCCTCCCACCAGGGGCTGAGCATGCAGTCGTGGCGGTCGTGGGATCCACGTCAGAGCACAAGCCAGGCATGGCCCAGTGGGCCAGGTAGACAGGATGTCTCCTGTGGTGAACCTGGGCCAGAGCAAGGCCTGGGCAAGGGCGTTACTGGCCAGAGGTCACAGGCTGGCAAACTGGCTGAGAAAAATCCTGCATCAAAACAATTACAGTGGCCATTCCTGACATGAAGATATGTAGTTGGGTTAAAACATACTATCTATACACTATTATAGATTCCACTACTGATTGGTTTTCAGTTTCCTAAAACCACCTTTGCCTTACTTATTAAGAGGCAAACAATTTTTGTCCTATTCGTCAATTTTTTTCTAGTGTAACTTTTATAAAATTGTGTTCTTTTGCCTCCAAATAAATACGTACCCATTCATTTCAAGTTCCAACCATGTACTCAAGTTCTGTGACTGTATGTAGGTTTATACTTGATACTGAGTTGTATATGCCCTTTCTCATTGTCTTCTGAAAGTGGTGCCAGTGGGCTGAGCACTGTGGCTCACGCCTGTAATCCTACCACTTTGGGAGGCCGAGGTGGGTGTATCACCTGAGGTCAGGAGTTCAAGACCAGCCTGGCCATCATGGTGAAACTCCATCTTTTTTTTTTTTTTTTTTAAAGTGGTGCCAGTTGGTCCCTACCCTTATTTGAAAACCACCTTTCAATTAATCAATCACTCTGGGTACTTCTTATCTACTAGGTCAGCCCTTTTTTGGGATTAACCCCTGAATTCAAGAGAGTCATTCTTCACACTGAGTCCTTGCTCTCAACTCTGGGTCTCACTCACCCTTCATCACAAGCAAAGGACACTTTTGCTCCAAGCTGGAGATTAAGTGGAAACAGCACATGGCCATGAGGGAGGTAGCCCAGGAAGTCATCACAGGATTTCACTAGAAGAAAAATTAAAAAACAGGAGTAAGACCTCCATGTGAAAGGTACAGAGAACAATCTGGAAACCAGAGAGTCGAGGCACCTGCACATCCGGGGGCTTCAGGGCTCCAGTCTCCCTGGGGTGTGCAGTGCAGAGAAGCAGCCCCTCTGAGGTCATAGCCTGGCTCACAGCTGTAGAACACTTCCTCTCCAGGTGAAAAGTGGTCCTGATCACCTGGGGTATGCTCACCATGCAGGATTTTTGGAGGTGACTGACACACTGTGGGGACAGTTCCAGAGTACTTGTTAGTTATGGGGGAATTTCTTTTGCTATATCCTATGCTGGCTGAAGACCTCATAGCTAGTAAGTGGTAGAGAAATAGAACCCAATTTTACCTAGCACAAGACCTCAAATTTGCTTGTAAATATACAGGGCATGAGTTTTTTCCCCAGCTCTGGCTATGCATATGGAGTTATTAGTATTTGTGGATTCTTCATCTACATATTTTGTAGGAATACAATCCCAATTTTCACCCCTGTTATTCAGGTAATGAGACTGTCTCCTGAGCCCAAACCTGTTTTACAGATTTTCCCCCCATTTCTCTGATTACACACCTATGACTAAAGTACAGTCATACTGTTTCAGGACAGGCAAGCCCCCAAATTGTAGCGTACTCTGGAAGAGTTCTTGCCTCACCCAGGAAAGAATTCAAGGATAATCCAGTGGTGCTAGATAGCAATCTTCTGGTGAAAGACACTGCCCCTTGCAGAGCATGGCTAACTCACAGGCAGTGTGTCCAGAGTCAGCAACATATGGGCTCCTAGCAGGCAACTGTATTCATATTCCTGTAAACCTATTACATGTAAATTATTATTTTTTTATTTTTATTTTTATTTTTTGTGGGGTTTTTTTTTTTTTTTTTTTTTTGAGATGGAGTCTCACTCTGTTGCCCAGGCTGAAGCACAGTAGCTTGATCTTGGCTCACTGTACCCTCTGCCTCCTGGGTTCAAGTGATTTTCCTGCCTTAGCCTCCTGAGTAGCTGGAATTACAGGCATGGACCACCATACCCAGATAATTTTTGTGTTTTTAGTAGAGATGGGGGTTTGGCCATGTTGGCCAGGCTGGTCTCGAACTCCTGACCTTAGGTGATCTTCTACCTTGGGCTCCCAAAGTGCTGGGATTACAGGCATTAGCCACCTGGCCAATTACATGTAAATTAAGGGGCAGATCAATGCAAAGTGAGGGGCAGGTCATTTAGAACTTTTTAGGAAAGGGGCAGTAATTTCCAGGTCATTGCCATGTCCTTTGTAAACTGTCATTGTGCTGATGGGAATGTGAGGGCAGCTAGGGATTGCTTTCATCGCCATCTGCTGGTTCCTGCTAGGGATTGTTTTTGTCGCCATCTGCTGGTTGCTGCTGTTTCTTCACTTCATCCTGTCGAAGCCAGATCCTGTTTTGGTCAGCAGGATTGTGAACACGACACAAGCCCTGCCCATCTCCTACCTCAATACATCCGACTTCGTATGTCTTTATCTGTTCATCTTCCCAGCTCAGTGGTTGCACAAGGCTCACACGGGTTGGTAGAAGAATTGTAAGCTTCTTCTCTGTCCCTACATATCAGCCATTACACCTCCCACTCCACTGCTAAACCCGCTATTGTGACACCAGCAGACAAGATGAGCTACCAAAAACAAAAGCCCTTAAATAAGCCAGCCCTTTGTCATGAGAGGACCTATTATTTGGAGAGTGTTTGACTCAACGTCTGCCTTTATTTACAGTCCTGTTCATCCATGCTTAGGTCATCAGAACCCATTTAACATCAACGTAATCTGTACCTCATTCAAGATGAATTTAAAAATCTTAACTGGCTTAGAGCAAGTTACTTTCACTCTTAGATTCCCAGGGATAAAATGTAGGAGGTGGATGGCTTGAGCCCAGGAGTTTGAGGCTGCAGTGAGCCATGACTGTATCACTGTATCATTGATCAGCCTGGGCAACAGAGATGGACCTCAACCCTAATAAACAGGTTTTTAATAAAATAAAATAACAGAATAAAATGTAGGAGACAGACCATTATAGACAAACTCTGAAGTCTTTGTCTCTATTCTGATGCTGTGATTTCTGGTCTTTGTAAACCAGTCTCTTTCAGTCACCAATGGATGCTGGTAGAAGTACGGCAAGAGCCAGAGCATTCAGACTCTGGGGTCTGAGACCCTTGCCTTTTAAAATCCTAGGTATCTCACTTAGAGCATGTGACTTGGCCAGTTTACTTAACCTCTGAAAGACCAAGCTGACTTCACTATTAAATTGATATTACAATAGCACAATTTCCAAGTGTTGTTTCTCATTTATTAAAATGAGAAAATGTATATAAAGTGCTAGTGCACAGCTGACTATAAAGTCCATGTAATTTTTCAATATATTTGAGA